TACTGGTTCAGCATTAGCCCCTTACTGGTCAAAGGCTGTTAATTAAGTCCCCTTGACTAGTTAGATTACCTGTTACCACTCGGTATGAGTGTGGCTTGAAGGCTACCATCACAGTTTAAGTAGTTTTTGTCCCACATTCAGTCAAGGAGTAGTAGTACTGGAGATATTTTTTTCTTCCTCATCACTCACAAGGGTAGTCTTAGCTATGAAACAGTCTTTTTGACTACAAGGGATATATTTTATTCCTTTTACTTTTAAATGGGATAAGAATTTTACTTTTAAGCCTGGCTTCTTAATAGTTGCCCTTGGGTCATGTTGCTTGTAATTCATCCAGTGTTTGGTCAGAAGTTAAATTTAAGTCCTTGAGCCAGTCAAGTTTACAACCTTTGTTGATGGATTGGTGTGTGGACTGAAGAATGTTTTCATCTTGTCCATGTCTTGCTCTGATTGCTTCTGAGTGGGAGCAATCTAATGCATGTACAGAACATTTGTGACCCCTAGGGTTGACTATGTTCCCAGGAGGGCTCACCTTGGCTCTCTTTATCTAGATATCTCTGTTTAACTTTTGGTTGCTCTGCTGTTTCGTGGGTTAATAGGAGTACAGAGAAACTACAAGCTTCCTTTTAATTGCTCTTCACCAAAATTTCCACTGCTTTTAATAATACTCTTAGGAATAGTATGCTCTGGTCCAAATAAGGTCAATCCCTTCAAGCCTAACTGCTGGGCTCTTTGTCCTTACAGCCTGTCTCTCCCTCTGGGCAGAACTTCTATGCCACTGCACAGGACCCAGTAACAACATAGCAAGCAGCTTCTCCCAGCATGATTACCTCTGCCTCTATGAGTGGTACTAGTGTGTGGGAAACAGTAATAGCCCCTGATTTTCTCAATTTGTCCCTCTAGGCACAGAATTTCCATCTTATGACATAGCTAGCTGCAAAGGAAGTAATTGGAGCTTCAGTATTCTCAGCCTACCACGCCTGAAGTAAAGCTTCAGCCCTATGAGCAGACACTTCAGGATAACGGAGTCTCTGTTTTACCATGACTGCCTTAGAAGAGAACTTCTGCAAAACTTAACTGGGCAAGATAAGAAATGCCATATAGTGTAACCACAGCCCTAGACTGGCAGCTGAGGGAAGGGAGTAAAAGTTGTGGCTCCACTGCTACAAACTCCTGCTGCTCTTCTCAAGAGATTTTCTTGAATAATTGTTTCCCTATTTCCTGTATCCTGTAGATTAACTCCCAGGTACTTTCAATGATTATTTAAAATTTCAGTGAAATGGTTTTGTTAAGGAAAAGGTCCAATGAGGGGCACCTGGGTGGCCCAGTCGGACAAGTGTCCAACTCGAATTCGGTTCAGGTCATGATCTTAAGGTTCTGAGATTGAGCCGCATGTTGGGCAGCACACCCAGAGGACAGTCTGCTTGAGATTCTTGCTCTCTCTCCCACCACCCCCTTGGACCCTCTCTCTAAAACAAATAATCTTAAAAAAAAAAAAAAAAAAAGTCTTAAAAAAAAACAAATAAGGTCAACTGAGCATCTTACTCCCACCATTCAAAAAATTAAACCCCTCATCCCATTTTTTTTTTTTATCATCATCACATGTTCTACATGTATTAGTTGGTACACTTCCCTTTCTTTCAGCATGGACTTAGGGGTCTGTATTTTATTCAATGGGTTGTTATTTTTATTTATTTTGACCTAATTTTGGCCAGTGAGAGCCAACTCCTGTTTAGTTTTGACAGGTCAACAAGATTCCTCTTTTTTTTTTTTTTTTTTTTTAAAAAAAACTGGGGGGGGGGAAAGCCCCCCTTTGGGGGGGGGGGGGGGGGGGGGGGTGGCAAAGATAGAGAATGGCAAGCAGACTCCCTGCTGAGTGCAGAGCCTGACTTGGGGCTTTATCTCCTGACCCTTGAGATCTGAGTCAAAATCAGGAGTCTGATACTCATCCGACTAAGCCATCCAGGCACCCTTTAACAAAATTCCTTAAGCCCTTTCTAACTTTCTAAAATAAGATACTGGAGTACCATCTTAAGTACTTTCCTTACACCAAGCCTTAGAAAATAACCGTTACTATAGAGAACTGTAAGCTATTTATAAAATGAATACTCAATTTTTTTTTAATCACAAAGAGCCCACACAGATTTAACTGTTTTTCATGACTGATATGTAGGAATGAGCCAAAGCTGAGAAAGTGTAGACCAGGATTTGCCCTAACACAGACCACACTGTTGGTTAATGATACTCAGGAAGAAATCTTTTATGTGAAAAAATGTTCCTAAAAATGTCCAGTATTGGATCTAAGAGATTGGGAAGAGGTCACTGGAAGTGGTAGTCCTTAGAAAACAGAATGCAAACATATGATATATAATGAAAATGAGTCCTACAACTCTATTCAGAAACCAGGAAAAATGGTAAATAAAACTATCAATAAGCGTTCAAGTCAATAATACAATGACTACCCTACCAATAAGGCAAACGTGAGTGAAAATTAAAAGTGGTCTTCTACTTTGTTATATGCACAAAGAAACTTTTAAAGGATCCCTGTATGCACTAGTATCTGAAAGCACTAGTATGAACACATGAATAAATATTAGAGAGAATTTTAATAAATTCATTACTTTATCTAAGTAATATTAAAAGAGGAGGTAAAATCAACTGACCACACTACTGTAAAAAGTTTTATTCCAAAACTAAAGATGCTGGTGGAGATGAAATATAGGCAGGACAAATATGTAATACTGATAGAATAGTTATCAGAAATTAAGAGTATCGTAAAATTATGGAAGCTTGATGTCATCCTGCAAATGTCTCATACCTAATGAGATCTATGAACTACTTCTATTATACAGAGACAAAAGCTGTAATTTACTTTAGAATTTCAAGTTCAGAAACTGGTGTCTGATGTTACCACAGAAATTACGTAATACTCCAGAAAGTTCATTATAACAGAAGGATTTTAATAGTTTTAAAAAGTACTCAAGCCCCTCTCTCCATATTTAAGGATCTGAGGACTAACCATTTGGTATTAATCTGAAGAGTATTGTATTAAAGGAGGGAAAGTTAGCAAAGTTGGGAGAAACAGAAGGTGTTGTCAACGAATTCAGGGAACCGTCAGTAACAAAAATCCAAGAGCTTACTACTATGTGCCGGGCATTGTCCCAGCATACTTTAACTTGACTTAGTATGTTTGAGGTCATTTTCAAATCTAGACAATCTCACTTGTATGAAGAGTCGTACCTCTCACTTTTTGGAGCTACAGAAAATTTAAGGAGTGAAAACTAGGGCTGCCTGGGTAGCTCAGATTTTTAAGGAGCGAAACCTGAAGACTTCTTTTGACAATAAAATTTAGAGGAAGGAATGACTCATGTAGAATCGGACTAAAACAAAGCTTCTGACCCTAGTGAGGCTGAACTGCACATGCACCATCGACTCCTGACTACCCCAACAGCATAGTACTCAACTTCTGGCAATGAAAAGAATTGAAACATCACATACAAATGAAGTAAATAAAAATCAGCAATGCAGCACATATGATTTATATGGCCCCATTTTGGGGGGAAGGCCTGCAATGGCATTTGTAAGGACTTTGTACCAGCAAGAGAGGAGACCGTAACAAAGAATCTGCATTATGTTAAACTGAGCCCAGATGCTGGAACGACTTGGGTGTATAACACAGAAACCTCCTATACTTCTCTTAAATTTTGGTTGCATTTGGTACAGAACATAAATTACATGATTATGTTCCTCTATTGCTCCATTTGTCTTGTCATGCTGCTCAGAAGGAACTCAGGCCTGAAACAGTACAAGACCACTGCCTGGTGCTTATCAGCCACCTGATGCTTAGACTGCTTACCTAGCTCTACATTCTGGAGGACTCAGCTGGCCCAGAGGTGGTAAATGGAAGAAACAAGGAGTCAATACAATTAGGAGGCATATCTGAAGAGCTGCTTAATTTTTCCATTATGTTTATGTAAATTTTAGATGGGAATATATATATAGAGAGAGATATATCTATATATATATATAGATAGATATTTATCCCTGTGTTAAACAAATCCTATGATTTATAAGCATCTCGGGATTTTATTCGAGAATGCCAAGGGTCTAATCTGCTCTTCAAATAATGAGTGTTAGAAATACTATTTTAAATATATAACTATTGGCTCCTCCAGATTCTTACCTACTATAAAATGTTAAAATCAGTAGTATATGTTCAGGAACCATTATGTTCAATTCTATTTCTAGCAGTGGTAGTAGAAAGTTTTCTCTCTATGGCTATGGCAACAAAGCTGGGCCTACAAAATGGAATCTGCACTGAAAACCCATCCTTACCCTAGGCACAGATAAACTCAACTGCCAGAGGGCAAAAATGAGTATTGAAATAGAGCTCTACATATGGTAGGAACGTAAAAACTTGCTGCTGAAACCTCAGGAAACTCTACCCTAACATGTTTAAACGAATTTACACTTTGAAAACCAACATAAACATATGGATTCTTGTAGTTTCACATCATTGTTCTTGTGAATTTTCTAATTCACAAAGTCTGAAAGACTTACGAAATAAGGATTTAGGATTATAAAGGGACTATAACATAAGCAAGAACAGACTTAGACAACACAAGTTTTCATGAAAAAATGAAGGTGATGGTAGTAAGGAAACAAAGGTTGAGAATAAATCAAGTACATTCCAAAGAAGGTAACAAGCAATGACACAGTACAGGCAGGCAGAACTCCTGGAGAAGAAAGAGAAATCAAATTAATAGGAGAGTGGGGAAGGCAAGCACTAAAGAAAGAGCTGTGAAATGCTGGCTCGGAATTTACGGTGGGTAAAAATTCAGAGTAAAAATGGAACAGAAACTAACAAAGGAACACAGTTAATAAAACCCATTATCGTCCATCTTTCAAATACTTGTGGTGTCCATTTGTGAAGTAACTGATGAAAAAAATGCTGGGAGGTTGGCTGTTATTTCCCTTATTTCATGTGAGCTTATAATACATACCTCTAGCATACAGCCTCATGCTTTCCATATAAGTTGCAAGGTTTTCTGCTACCAAAGTAACTAGGGCATGATTGTGCTGAAGTTGATTGATTAAGTCATGGCGGTAAAATACATGGGGACTTCGCTGAGTTTGACTGAAACGAGAAGAACTTAACAATATAATTAGGCAATTAAACTCCGTTGCATTCAAAAGAGCCTATACAATCTAAATTCTTAGCTACTAGTTAAAAATATTTAAATGGTTTTCCTCATGATAGAATTATACTCTTGGCTGTTACTTTAATAACAGTATCAAGTGATTTAAAAGAAAATAATGCCTCAAAAATCAGACATTTATTCCATTATTATTTACATGGAAACTATACGTTAATATTCCCCAATCTCAACATGGGCATCTACTTCAATGACTAATCTCTACTCCTATACCACAGAAATAGTAAAGCACTTGTGTATGTTAACACGATTATGTCCAGAATTATAAAACAGGAACTTAACTCTCTTACGGGACTAGCATCACAAACATTATGTCATAATAGTGAAGAATTTGATCAAAGAAAATGCTTTCTGTAAACTTTTATTTATTAGCCTTTCAAGGTACATTCTGGGACACTTGGTTTGTACATGTATTTGCCAACAGGTATCACCAGAAAGACATCTAGTTCCTTTCCAACCTGTTCTGCTACCTTCACTGAAAGCAATTAACCTCTCAGAGCCATTACTATTCTAGTGGAGATGAAGCCACTGTACCGTTAAAGAGTATGTAAACTACTCTTTCTACAACAGACAAATTAATTCATTTGAGAAAGGCAAAAAGGCATTATGTACAGTGGCCCAAAAATAAAAATATGTCTCTCAAATAAATGTTACTATTAGTAAGATACATGTCTGGATTTTCTCCACTGTTTATCCCTACAGCTTTTCAAATTTTGTATTTTTTCAAGCCTTTGGAAAAAACTGAGACAAAGTTCAACCACTGAAACCAAAATATATATGGCCTTTTCTGTCTTAGGCATAATCACAATAATCTAGAGCTGCAAAGATCTTTGTCAATCATCTAATTTTACACATAAGAAAAACATGTTTCTTTCAATTAGTAAATCTTTACAAGATACGACTGTTTAGACACAATGGTCATACCCAGGAATCCTGACTGCACTATAAATATGCTTGGTACTACACCTAGCACTCTCTCACTCTCTCTGAACATTATTTTTAACTTTCCACGTTAACTATTCCAACTCTTAGAAAATACCAGGATAAATTATTCTACTAACCAGAATTTGGCTGTTAAGATGATTATATTTAAAGACCACTATTTATAAATATATACATATATACATACATACATACCACTAACAGAAATTTAAAATCAATCAAATATTTTAAACCATATCTCATCATCTTTCATGAGTAATACAGAGTGTTGCTGATTCTGGTATTTATCACTTAATTGTGGCTTACTTTTTCATCAGTAAAATCAAGGATGTGGATATGTCTTTTGTTCTAAATTAACCTTTCTCTTAGCCTATAAACTTCCCACTTTCTTTTGAAAAATCTGCTTTTACCAAGTTACAGTGCTATTTTTTCCAGTAAAATGTAAAAACAGAAATATTCAAACTTTCTGTTAAAAGCCTTACCTCAAATTTTGAGGGGCTTCACCGAACAAACTACAAATTTCTCTAATTTGTTTCAGTGCAGGAATTACCCATTTGTCATTTGTACGAAGTTCTTCTATAAAGCGATCTATCCACTGGATCTTTTGTGTGTCACGGTCCTTAAACAAAAAAAAATTTTAGATAGGTCATACACAGGAAAACTCCATCTCCAATGATAAAATAGGGCTTCTTATAAGATTATCACAAGCATGTAATAATGGCAGAAAAGAGCTTAGCAGTCTTAAAAAGCAGTGAATACATTTTTATTTCACATTTACTATCAAAACGATAAAAAGTAAAACAGCACTATCCAATGTTTCAAAGAATTTTATCATATAATAAAATTTAGCAGTAACACAAAACCCCAACTGTTATTCTACATGGGACTGTTTTAGCATAGTGAGGGATACCAAAAATTTCTATTTAACCAAGAAAATAATGGTATGGCAACTAAGCTAAAAAGAGTTTCACCGAAAATAAAACTAAGGACATATGGACATATACACAAAAAGATGGACACATAAAAGTATTACAAACTCAAAATTACTTCAAATATGATCACTCCTCATACCTTATTTACTCCTTCCCCTAAATCAACAGTAATCAGAAATGCAGGTTTCTGCACTTAAGAAGTTTAAGTTTGGATTACTTTTTGTGTGTGTGTGTATGTCTCCGTTTAATGAAATAATTTAAACTGAAGGTTCTTATTAGTATTTGATATACTAAATATTTAATAAATTGTCACAAGCAAATGTAGTTAAAAAAAAAATCTGAATGGGATCTGAATCACATACACCTACTTGAGCTTATTAGCTCTCACCTAAATTTCAGTTCATCAGTGTAGCAAACAGTTTAAACAAGTGGAAAATTATTTAATCAACAATTTTCATTTTACCATAAGTTAATAGTTAACATGATACAAGTTAGAATGCAGGGAAGCTGTTGTGTGATTTGCTCACAGGCAAGGCTCAAAATGTTTTACCATTTAGAAAATTCTATTAATTTTTCTTAATTTCCCTGTGAGTAAAGAAAACTCAAATCTCTTACCTCTTAAGCCCCTCATCAGCTTTATTATCTTAAGATCTATTTGAAACTGGTAATTTTAGCACCACGCATTTGACAATATTATTACTATATAACCTGGTTTTCTTTTTTTAAATACTGTCTTTCTCCGAAGGAGACTAAAATGCTTTTCAGATGATACACAAAATTTTGACATAGAGACCTAACATGAGGAAGGCAGACTTACACAAAGGAAGTGAGTCAATTCTTGAAGATCATTTCTAAACTAACATCAAAAGATGTAGAACTATTCTAGATTTAAGCCATCCTGAGAATGAAGGTTCACCTTACCTGTGAGCAACTATAATCTAGTATTTTTATGTGGGCACTGAGAGCCAGGTCCATGATGTCTACAGGTACATCATCACTGTGGGCCAGATTCCACAGTAGGTTCAACACTTTGTGCGCCATCACACCATCTTTATCATCTTCTGCAAGGCGACGTATCAGCTCAAGTAGCTTTTCACGCTGCTTTTTACTTGCATTTGTCCAACTGGCCTAGAAAAAAAATTAAAATGACATGAAAACAACAAATTTACCCATCAGTGATTAAATCAGGCATCATGGAATTAACTATATTCATGGGAAAAACACACCTGAGCACAGAATTATTCTAGTGATAATTGAGATAAGATAGGGCAGAATTAAACATGAAGACCAAAAAAAAACCAAACAAAACAAAACCAAAACCACCCTCTGTATTTTATAGTTAAATACTTAACATCAGGGTTTTTCAACCTTGGTACTAACATTTTAAGCTGGAGAAATTTTTGTTGTTGGGGCTGTCCCATGCACAGTAGGATGTTTAGTGGCAGCCCTAGCCCCTACCCAGTAGAAGCTAGTAGCAACTCTTCCTCCCAGCTGTGACAACAGAAACTATGTCCATTTCCTGCCAAATTATCTCTGATAGTGGGGGTGAGAGGTGCGGAATTGACTCGCTGAAAACCACTGCCTGAGATTCAGTCTGTTATTTGTGACTTTAAAATTATACTGAGGGGTGCCTAGGTGGCTCAGTCAGTTAAGCATCTGACTTCTACTCATGATCTGACTTCAGGTCATGATCCCAGGGTCATGGCATTCAGCCCCAGTGTCCCTCTGCCCCTACCCCACCCTGCTCTTGTGATCTTGCTCAAATCAATAAAATCTTAAAAAAAAAAAAAAACAAAGAAAAATTGTATTAAAAGATGGCAATGACAACCTGATATATACAAAGATTTTCATAATAAATTTTAAAAGCTGATGATCTCTCATCAGCTGTGCACACTGTGCACTAATTATATGAAAACAAGATAGTCTAACAAAGTTTGTTCTTAACCAATAAAAACAATTTCTAATATGCAGAAATATGGTGCTATTACATTTCAATTTAGAAGATACAACACTCATTTAAAATCTCCACAATGGGGGGAAAAAACCTCTGAAAATGGTATTTTTACAAATGCCCAGTTTATACAATGCGCCTGGGGTGGGGTGTGTCTGATGGTGGCATGCAACGGGTAAAGGCCAGGGATGTTTTGCTAAACAATATGAGAAATGTAGGTATAAAGCTGCTAATGAGTGTTTATTAGAAAATAAAGTGAAATCAACCTAACAGCAAACAAAAGAAGGATGACTATGTTAATTACAGGAGATTCTTTCAATGGGATTATTACACATTTAAAATTTGATAAATAAGGGCTCTCTTTGAAGACAACTTTAGTACATACTTGTAATTCCTCATAGACCCCTCAAAATTACGAAAAATATAAAAACGTCTAAGGATACATGAAAAAAACTGAAATATTAGATATTACAATTAAGAAGATCTTAAGTGGGGCGCCTGGGTGGCTCAGTGGGTTAAAGGCTCTGCCTTCGGCTCAGGTCATGATCCCAGGGTCCTGAGATCAAGCCCCACATCAGGCGCTCTGCTCAGCGGGGAGCCTGCTTCCTCCTCTCTCTCTCTGCCTACTTGTGATCTTTGTCAGGTAAATAAATAAAATCTTAAAAAAAAAAGATCTTAAGAAAGGTAACTGAAAAGTAACTAGGCATTACATGCTTCCTGAATTAAGAGCACATGACCACCTACGATGTATTCTAGCAAAAGAGAAAAAAAAACCTCCACAAGCCTGTATTTTATACTATTGATATAAAACAACACAACAATCCTTAATTACAGCTTCTTCAACAAACAGATTGCAGGGAGAATGAAAAAGAAAAAGGGGGAAACTGTAGATTCAAAGAGAGTTAAATGACGGATACAACCAATCACAAAGTATGGATCCTGATTCAAACAAGTGTCAAAAATAATGATCTGAAAAAAACTGAAGTTTAACACTATTTGACCGTACTACAGAACTATTAGGTTTTTTTAGGTACGATAATGATAATACAATTTTTTTCTTCATGTACTCATCTCTGAGGGATGTATACTAAAATAATTACACACAAAATCAACTAAGGAAAAAATCAGTTAAGAACACCTATTCATCCAAAGCCACCATATGGAGAGTGAAAAAGGCCAACGACAGACTGGGAGAAATTCTTTGCAACACTTGAACTGATAAGGACTACCACTGAGAATGCCAAGAACTCCTACAAACCACTAAGAAAAAAATAAGCCAATAGGGAAAAATTAGGAACAAAACTTCAATAGGATTTTCACAAAAAAATAAAGAAAAGCAACATATAAAAAGGTGTTCAACCTCATTAGTAATCAAGGATCTAAGAACCAATACCACAATGAGACATTTCCCACCAAGCAGACTGTCACAAATCCAAAATTCTGACAAAAACAACTGCTGGCAAGGATATGAAAACCCTGACGGGACTGTACAATGGTATAACTGCTTTAAGAACAAAAACTTACTTCAAACTAGACTATGCAAATACCTATATAAAAACTAATCAACATGTCTGAAATCATTTGGTTCCAGTCCATAAAGAACTGCAAAGTGATCTGGACTTCATGCTTCCTCTGAATCATCTTTAGGAGAAAGTTTCAGTATTTCAGAAAACAGTGCTTGTTACCAAATAACAAGTGCTCAGTAAACACCAACTTAGCCAAGGGGAGGGAAAAAAAGAATGCAATCCATGTTTGTACTTAGACTGTTATTATATTTAAACTATCCTTAGAAGAGGAGGGTTCGGGGGCTGTAACAGCAATTGACCTCTTTCTTCTTTTCTATCATGGCCATCTTGATCATGTACGTGCCAATTCGGAAGTCATCTCAAGATTAAAACTGAATGGCAATTAATTTTAGAGTACCCATGATAACGGATTCTATTATTTCCTAAGCTGCCTTTGATAGATTTCAAACTGAATTTTTCCATAAGGCAATTATTTACAACTTTAATATACTTAAGATTCATCTGAGAATGTTGCTTAAAATACAGACTCCCAGGCCCCATACCAAGCAATGCAGATTTACCTGGTCTAAGGTATAAGCCAGTAATTCACATTTTTTTCTTCTATTGGGAAATACCCATCAAGAAAGGTATAAATATATACCATTACTACAGTACATAATGTAAACACCTATGTAACAATTACCCAGGTCAAAAAATAACATGGTAAGCAAGAAGCTAGCTGGGGTCTTAATCTGAAGTTTATGTTAATGCAATCAAGGTATATGAATTGTGTGATTTTATTCCTTTCTTCAACTTTATTAGACTCATCCATGTGGTTGAATTGCTCAAATCTGCTCCTTCTCACTGTTGTGAACTCTTTCACTGTAGGAACATTCCACAATTTATCCATTCTACATAGCCATTTTCTTGCTTGCTATTACAAATAATTCTGCTGCAAATGTTAAAGTGTTATCCGGGCACACATATGCATAAGTTTCTCTAGAGGATATATTGAGAAGTCAAACTGATGAGTCACGAAAATTCTATACTTTTCAAGAAATACCAATCTATTTCCAAGATGGTTGTGGCAACTTATGTTCCCGACAGCAGTCAGCATAACTGTTACTTTAAACAAGATACCTTTATCATCCAATGCCAGTTGTTAATACAACACCCCTCAACCCTTGTGAGCACTGCTATTGCCATAAAGTCTTATGTTCTTAATCCACATATTTACCAATCATACGGTTTTTACAAACCCAATACTAGCAACCATAAAGAGACCACAACACAATATGGCCTTAAAATGATACCAATGCAGGTATCGCTATAGGGGCACTCTTGGGCTACCTTATAAATTACACTTCCATTTGCCTGTGCACATCACCCTAGGATACCAAGATATGGGTAATCCCGATATTGACACTTTATTTTTTATTGCAACCAATCGTCCTTCCCTGAAGTCCTACAGAGCACCCGAACCTATTAATAAAAATTCAAACTGCTAGGGGAAAGGAATCCAAACTCACAACCTGAGTTTAAAAAAGATTCTGTATTTATGAGGGCTATTATTATAAAAATGAACATTAAGTTCTCATTGGAGGGAGCCTGGATGCTACGTCATTAGGTGGCTGCCTTTAGTTCGGGTCATGATCCCAGGGTTCTGTGAATGAGCCCCGTATGGAGCCTGCTTCTCTCTCTTTCACTGCCCCCTGCTTGTGTTCCCTCTCTCGCTGTATCTGTCAAATAAATAAAATCTTAAAAAAAAAAACAAAACAAAACCAATTCCTTCACACCAGGAATTGTTCAATAATTTCTACTGAAGTATTTATTGACTAAGAGCAACTCACAGATCTAATAAGGTAACTTTGGTAATTTTATTAAAATGAAGTGGCACTACTTTACTATGCTATTACCTTAAAGCAATCAAAAAGATGATCAAGTTGTTCAGGAGAAAAATCCCATGCTAACTTTGCCAGCAGATCATGCACATTCTTCACAATGGCTTCATGCTTCCCTGCCTATTGAAAAACCAAAGAAAACATAGCATATTAGAATTTGAACAGCAGATAAAGTTGTGTATATTGACTGCTGACAGCTATTAATTAAACTATTCCCACCAGCTTCATCTAAGGGTAGAACATAACAAAATTCATACACTTAAAAAATGCTTTAGAACTGGCCTTTAAAACCTAACAAATTAATTCCTTGATATACATGGTTAATGTGTACTTGGGAATTCATGTGAGCCTTTATCTGAATTTACTGAATTTAAACGGGCCAATTTTAACATTACAATAAGGCACACCAATGGTACTGTTCCAAAACTGGAACCTTAAGCACTCAAAAGGAAAACTGAATGTTTCCTTGCTTTGTAATCTAAAACTCAACAATACTTCCAAGTGATCCCAGTAGAAACCTGTCATTGAGGTAATCAAAGGAATCACCTAGTTTCTAGCTCTGAAACCAAAAACTTAACTTTTCTTTCAGAAAAGCTATAAATCCTTTGTATTATTACAAGTCCACATAAATAAATCTAGTGATTTAACCCTACTGACACCAAAGTTTTTTTTTGAATTAAGTTTATGAAGAAACTAATAGAACACTGTGTGAATAAAATACTTCGGTCAAAATTTTGTAATGAATACTAAAAAGCAAAAAAACAAACCACCTACAAATTGCTAACCTGTACCAAACATATGCAACTGATGAATATATTTAAAATATTATTAGCTGTTTCACGGTGCCTAGTTGGCAGTCAGTTAAGCATCCGACTCCTGGTTTCGGCTCAGGTTGTGAGGTTGAGCCCTGTGTCAGGCTCTGCACTCAGCATGGAGTCTGCTTAAGACTCTCTTTCCCTCTTGCTGTCCCTCCCCATGCTCTCTCTAAAATAACTACATAGATCTTTTTTCTTTCACAAATCTTTAAAAATATGTATTACTGGCTATTTTAAAAAGATTCTTGATAAGATTTCTATAAATCATGAGCCTTTAAATGTACCAGAAGTCAAACAATATAAGCGTTCATCCTGTTTCACAACTACTATATTTAGTTTTTAGTATCTTTCTTGTAAAAAGCAAAGAGTCACCATCTGAAACTTCTTACCTGTGCTGCCCAGATATTATCAAGATCTTGTAATGTCAGAGCTTTTTCTTTAATGACAAAACGAAGAATCTTCTCTAGCTTTTCTACATACTGTGGTTGATGCAGACTATCTCGCAATACTATGGATAAGATATTGTTCTGCTGTATCCATTCCTAAACATAATTCAAAAACTTCTTTTAAAGAAGAAACTGAAACACAGGAGCTTTTTAAAAAATATGTATGAAATATTATTCACACTTTAAACATTAGTAGGAATTAAAAAAAAACAAATAGACTAACGTAATAGGTTTATGTGCTGTTTTAATTCAAACTATGAAAAAAAAACAATAATTACTCAGAACTTAATTTTGCACATACAGAAATGTTTCCATGAATCAGAAATAGTGCAATTATTAAAAAGATTCTACTCCAGGGGTGCCTGGGTGGCTCAGTCATTAAGCATCTGCCTTTGGCTCAGGTTATGATCCCTGGGTCCTGGGACTGAGCCCCACAATGGGTTCCTCGCTCCATGAGAAGCCTGCTTCTCCCTCTCCCACTCTCCTTGAGTTCCTCTCTCTTTGTCAAATAAATAAAGTCTTTAAAAAAAAGATTCTACTCCAGCACTTACACAGAAAAGTGTTATTTAAGTACAGCAAGCACCACAGTTCAGGCAGAGAGGGCAACAAATCTTTGGTTTCCTTACACTGGTTGTGATTTTGGTGAAAACACGCCCTTTTAATTTTTTGCTTTATTTATTAACCAACTAAGCTACTACTGCTTATCCAGTAGCACTTTAATCTTCCAAACAATCCCAATGAGGGAAATATTACCCTATTATAGAAGAGTAAACAGGCTCAGAAGTGTTAGAAGTGGAACTGAAAATAAGGCTACATGCTTCCCAAGCCTGTATTTCTGCAACACTATGCTATGTTGCTGACTGGCATTTATTTTCTATACCAATAGAAGAAAACTGACTCATGATACAAAAAGGTAACAGCCCATATTGTATAATTTTACAGTATTCAACTTAATGAGAATAATAAAGTATTAAGCTCCCAAATGTGCTGGATAAGCACACTTCTCAGGTGGTAAAGGTCCATTTTTATTTCTAATCTGTTACAGGTACGTTTGTAAAACCCAGGAAGTATGGTGCAATGTCAAATTGCTACAGAAGTTTCTAAACACTTGATGCCATTTTCTGTACTCCTCTAGCACTGGCAATGGTTCAAGGACCAGAAGCCAACCATAGACCATACTCTGAGAAGCAGTGTTCAGCCTCCCAACAAACTAGACACACAAATCACATATACAAAATCAGATGTTTTACACCTAACTCCTAACACAGGGCCAATGTCTATGCATCTTCCACATACTCTTTATCACATCCTAATCATTGTTTCCCCTATTAAACTGAGGCTGCCATGAGAGCAATGTCCGTTCTGTTACAGATGTCTGTTCAGTACTGTCAGACACTATGCACTAAGTTATTCCTCCAATACTTTTTAAGTGGCATACTTATGTATTTTAAAACTACAAAACAGAGAAGTATCTATGGTAAGCGGTGCATGGGTGGCTCAGCTGGGTCTTGGCTCAGGTCATGATCTTATGGATTGTGGGACTGATCCCCACGCCAGGCTCTACACTTATTGGGGAGTCTGCTGGAGATATTCTCTCTCTCCCTCGCTCTTTCTCCTTCTGCCCCTACCGCCACTTGTGTAACTCTCTAAAATAAATGACAGCTTCCAAAAAAAAGGGCAGGATCTATGGTAAAGTTTCCTAAACATTCAACATTAGAATAGTATGAACAGAAGTGCTTAAGTGAGGTTCTTAAAATAATAAAATATTAATTCATGTACACCTTATTCCAGTAATTGTATTTCCTGTTTTAAGATCTGTAAGTGGCATCAGTGAAATGAACAATAGGCCACTTCATTCATCAGGTACCAGATACTATCCAATCTATCCCCAAGATCACCTTTATCTACTCCACTTCAACCAAACCCTCCCAACAAGCTTATAATTACTTTGGAATACCTACATTCAGCAATAAGTTTATCAAAGATGTGCGAAGCTACCTATATCACTACCAAATAAGCTATGTTATTACAAAAAGTTCTGAGAATTAAGAGTCATAAATCAGTCCCAACACCTCCCAAACTCAAGGTTTTCTTTAAAATGTTATTATTACTATGTTAAGTAAAGCCATTCTAATTTTTGCCTTAGGCAGATTTTTATTCATGAAAGAAGAACCAAAGGACTTACTGCCATTCGTTCAGCTGTGAGCCACTCTTCCTCCTCAGGGTTACCATGTCGATGAGTGTAGTAAGACACACTAGATATCACCTTATTAACCTCATTCAGTGCATTCATCTTTCCATTGAAAGACGAAATTTGCAGTAATCTAGAAGAGAAATTCAGTGTTAAATAGGATTCTAAATATTCACAGTTTATTTCAAGAGGAAAACATCTTACCTAAGTATCATTTTTAACCTAAATATTTCTAAATTTTTTACAGTTTCTTCTTGTCCTGGAACCCTTGAAGCCAAATTCTTCAAAGATTTAATAATCATTGAAAGGGCATCATTTTTGGCTTCATTCTTTGCTTCTTTTTTCAGCTCTTCATCAGTTAAGTTTTCTAAAAACTGTGGAACCATTTCTATTACTGGAAGAAAGTACTTTTTCACTGTATGAAGAGTGAGAAACTCGTAGCATTGCCCAAATGGTCTGAAAGAAGAAAGAAAAAAAAAAAACTCTTGTAATACTCACTTTCTTACAATCAACTAGGACTAAACTCAGACTTACTTACATTACTTTTAAAAAAATCCAAGTTATCAGTTAAAGAGGAAACCATACTTGTAAAAAGAAAATTTTTACCAAGGAATTAAGTAGCAATTCCTAGAACACACTGAAGATTCATTTGAAAACAAACTTACTTTATAAGGGCTGCAATTATTTGAACATTTAATGCTGATCCATTAATAAAACGATCATGCAAAATCTGGAACCCATTTAAAGTGCCGAACTTGTTGAGAAGATCCACCAGCCAACCCTGTAATAGAGTTAAAGAAAAAGACTGACTTCCTACTTTTAAGGGAAAAAACACCATCTGAAGTAATTTCTTGATTGAAACAAACTAGAAATAGGAAATTCAAAAACAGAAAATTATGTAAAATCATCTTTGAAATAAAATATTACATATTATTCACAGTAATCCTGTCTGTGAGAAAAAAGCATAAGCAGCAGTACAGATCAGATCAGTAGGGCACAGCTGGTTTTACCAAAAGAGCTGGTGAACAGGAATTAGAAGCCATGTTTCTATTTCAGAGATCCCATTATAGAATATCTTATTATCTGAAAGTTATTTTTTAAAGTTTAGGGGGATTAAAAAAAAAAACTCTTTGAAAAATAAGAAAAGGATATTTGGTAACCTAAGATAATGTTTGAATTCATTTTTTTAAAAAAAGATTTTATTTATTCATTTGATGGAGTGATAGAGAGTACAAGTAGGCAGAACAGCAGACAGAGGGAGAGGGAGAAGCAGGTTCTCTGCCAAGCAGGGAGCCCAATGCGGGGCTCCATACCAGGACCCTGGGATCATCACCTGAGCTGAAGGCACACGCTTAACCCACTGAGCCAGCCAGGAGCCCCTTGAATTCATTTTTTACTGTAGTTGTAAATAATTAAATGTTCCCTATTAATACAATAATCTGAAAGCTTGAGAGCACACAATTAAAAGCTAACCACTGGTATTTTATCTGTTGCTCTTAACTAGAACATACTGGTTGATGCTTTTGCTGGCTCACATGAGTGCCCCAGTTCTCAGCTTAGAGGTAAACACAATGCAGTTAAGTATGGATCGTTTTTCAAACTCTTCCCCAAGGGACAGCAGTAATTAATGGTACAATGCAGCTGAAACAGCCAATGGTGTGTGGCATTAAAGCATGCTTACATGTAAAAACTTAAAACAAATGAAGAGATTATATACAGATCTAGAATCAAATGTATCTAAAAATTTATGTACCCAAGACAACCTTTTATACCTTGGTTTCTTCTAAAAGACCCCATTTCAGAGTCCACTGAGGGAAAACCAAGGGGAGAAAAAAGGGTAATTTTGCTACTAAGTCCTTAAGCAAAAATAACTTTTACAGCTACTCAAGAACAAAAACAAAAAAAAAAAACATGTCTAGGACAAAGGGAAAATGGGAAGTATAAGGTAACTGCTTTCAAACAGACAATATGTAAGCTAAAGGTAGTTTTGATAGGATTTTATGTCGAAATCAATTAAATTCTCCACTAAATGAACAACACTTTTCTATGTAAGTTCATTATAGTATTTTCCTACATTTTTCTTTGGTCTTAAGAAGCTAATTCAAAACAATTAAAAATCTGAGCATTTTAATTCCCAGTCCCTTAGGGCATTCAGCAATTCTGTATTTCCATTTCTCAAGTAACCTGAATGAGACTAACAGCCCAATATACTCAATAGTTATGTATACATATATGTGCACAAAATTTTTAAAAAAAGTCTAAAGCTTATCGTCCTATGTTTTTCAGCTATAACGTATCGTTTAACACATTTTGAGGATTTCCACTTTTAACAGAATAAACCTAAAGTTTTATGTATAAATTCAAATTTTCCTGGCTGGGTTTTCCTTTTTATAAGGCCCACAATATTGAAAAGTCTCCCTAAAGGTGCATCTGGGTGGCTCAGTTGGTTAAGCGTATGCCTTCAGCTGAGGTCACAAACCTGGAGTCCCGGGATTGAGCCCTGGGTTGGGCTCTCTACTCAGTGCGGAGTCTGCTTCTCCCTCTTTCTGCTTGTGTGCTCTTGCTCACTCTTCCTCTCAAATAAATAAAAATCTTAAAAAACTGAAATAAAAATCTCCCTAAATTCTAAAAATTAAAAACTATATATTATCTAATATTTATTAAAAGATGAACAGTTTAGGGATAGCTTTTTTATTCTGAATACTATTTATGCCAATATAGATAATTTACATTCGAGAACTTTTACATTGGTGTGTAAAAATTCTAAATGAAAGCAAAATAGTAATGAAATATATACACACACACATATATATATTTCATTACTATTTTGCTTTCATTTAGAATTTTTACACACCAATGTACAAGTTCTCGAATACTATTTTGCTTTCATTTAGAATTTTTATAATTTTACTTTAATGCCACAGTATCAGGCATTTGTAGGATATATACTTGATCCTGAAGTCAAAACATTAGAATGTCAGTGATCATGGCCTTGGATCAAAGTCACCTCCTATTCTATTCTTATTAATGAGGAAAATTATGGCCTGCTTCATAGAACCTAATTTATGACTATTTCCCAAAGGGCTGAGCAGAAGACAATGGGAACTAACTACATGGAGAAAGCCAAAAGAAAAAAAGAAAAAAGAAACAAACAAAAAAACACAACTCAAAACAATTTTGACAGTTATGCTTCAGTAAAGCTGGGGAAGAAAACAGAATCCAAAACACAAAATAATGCAAAATCCCTTCTTCACGTCAGATCTTTTATTGCTCTGTGGCAGAGCAAAACTGTATTAATTATGAAAATAACAAACCAACACACTTTTGGTGAGCGAGGGTCTGGAGAACGCGCAAAGAGTTCATCTTCAGGCAATTGAACACTTGAGGAAACAGATTCACATGGACGTGTACCATTGTAGATATGGAATTTGCAATGAGGATTTAAGGCCATGGAGAGAAGTTCTAGAAGTGGAAACCAGTCTTGGGACAACTTGGCCACACATAGCTCCACCAGACGATGAGTATTGTTGATAATACACCTCTGTTATATGAGGAGGAAAGGGCATTTGTAAGATCAAAACACTGCAACTCCAAATAGAAATATCTTCCATCTTAACTGTATTTTAACTATGTTCTCTCCATATTCTTATACCGATCAAATGTTTAATACTGGGATCAAACTGATATACCAAAATGCCAAATTAACATTTACTATCTTTTATATAGTACTTACTTTAAAAAGCCATTTGCAATGGCTTATGAAATGAAGTAGGCACTGCCCTGTGTCTATAGACCAGATCCAAACTGCTATTTTTTTTTTTCCCTCTTTGGAATTTGTACACAAGAAGCAACAATTCTAAAATCTACACAATATATTAATTATCCAAGATGGAATAGATTTGTTATTGTCTGAGAGCATCTCCAAAGTTTCCATTTCTTCCCTTACAACGTTAGTAAGATGATGGGATTTTTGTGCTATGGTTGTATTTGAAAAATAGTCCACAGAGCACAAAAATATCTGCCTCACAACTTATGACCAGATTTCCAGAGTGGAATAGGGAACAGAGACTTGGAGTACCTACAGCATTTCGTCAATTTAAGATTCATGTTTTACTTTTTCTCTCAAATTTCATTTATCAATGGTAGTTTCTTCAACTGAAGGTGTTGTGTTGTAAAGAAAAACTGTCTGCTTCTGCCAATCACTTGGGCATACCATGAACTTTAGACCATTTAAGGATTTTTTTGTTTCCAAAGTATAATTTGATTTCAAATTACCAAAAACTCTTTGAATAGTGGCCTGTTGTTTAAATTCTCAGGAGACTTTTTATCCCTCTAAGATGCCATGGTTGAGACATACAGGTTTCTTTCGCATCTCTTTCTGTGTGGTTAAGTTTATTTCTCTACACTGACCCTTTGTGTCCCAGATACTAGATTGCCCATCTTGGGTGTTCTCCTTCCTTAGTGGTATATAAAATGAATCGGTGGTGCATCTCACAATTAATGAAACGCAGTAACTTGGCTAAGGTCACAAGGTATTTGAGAATCCGGGAGAGTTCTAACTCTAAACCTCACACTCCAAAAGATCATGCTTCCTTTGATAGAAATTATTATTTATAACAAGTATATTTAAAGTGCCTCAGTATTATACCCTTTAATTCAATTAATTTATCAAATATACAACCAAATATATATTTTACAGATATATGAGAAAACATTCACAGGCATCACTATGAAAATCTGATTAAAGTCAAATGCAAGACTCACATGAATTTCAAACTTCCAGCCACTCACTGCCTCATCTGTAAGGATTTTAGTGAATGATATTGTAAGCCCATCTCGGAAAAATCGCTGACAAGCTTCACTTTTAACATCAAGGCCTAAGAAAAGGGAAGAAAAATTAATGTAAAGAAAGCATTTTTCTGATTGTCTCAAAATGCCCAATTACATGATAAAAATAAACAAACTTTTCACTAATAGCTAAGAAGTTCAGACTAGCTTTGGAAAAAACTTATACCATTATCTATTGTTAAGAGGTCAAAAAGATAAATAGACAAGTATTATCAAAGTTCGTATGTGTCTAAAAGGTAACTGATTCAGAAACAAAATCTTAAATGAATTTTAAAACTACTTAATTGTATAAAAGTACATCAAACCAAATAAGGTGAATTGAAAACATTTCAAATTAGGACACTAGAACGTAAATGTAAAATGGTTACCAGTACCACTGAGAGGGAATCTAAATGCTTCACTGCATTTTACTCTCTGAAAATAAAAACTTAGAAAATGATGTTTCACAACTATTTTTAAAATCTTATTTTGGCTAGACACCAATACCCTTACACTACTCTACCTAAGTGTTTCATTGAGTAAGATAAATTGTTTTGTCTCAGTGTCTTTCAATGCCCCAACATCTATGCTTCTTTATAGCTTTGCTTCATTTCATCTGATTTCAGAAATGCAACTGAGCCACATGCCCTCCCTGGCCAAACACAGAGAAAACTTTTTTTGTAAGTATTATTTTTTGGTGTTAGATAAAGAGTGTGAGTGAGCACGGGGTTGTACAAGGAGTGCAGAGGGAGAAAGAGAATCTTAAGCAGATTCCACACTCAGTGCGGAGCCCAACTCATCAGGGCTTGAGCTCACCACCCTGAGATCATGATCTGAGCGAAAAATCAAAAGTCAGACGCTAAACCAACTGAGCCACCCCGGTGCCCCTTAAAAATCTTTAACGTTTGAGGACAAAGTGAAAAGTTATTCAATTTTATATAAAGTGCTCTGCGATTCTGAACTGTGCAGAAGAGAGGACTTTTAAACTCAGTATTGTATTTAAAAATCTGAACCTTGCCCAAAATAAACCACTGTCCCAGAAAAAAAAGATGGGGGTGGGCGGCTACATGTCCAGCGAATGTCAGTGAATATTAAATGAAATACCATTACGTGTTCTTACATATCATTATACAGTCAGGACCTAGAACATGCCTAGTACAAAAGTCTTCAAAAATTTGCTCAATTAATAAATGTGCAAACAAACAAAAGAAATTTGGTGGTAAGCAACTGCAATCTGGAAATGTATTTTTACAAGATTAAAAAGGTGTGGAGACTTTCTTTAAATGAAGGAAGGTAATTATTCTAAGACAAAGGAAATATCACCCTTGCCAGGGAGTGAGACAGATGTAAGCAGATTAATTTTTATAATAATCAACTTCAACTGTGATAATCCTAATGATAGTTAGAATACATCCATGGCTACCCTATTATAGCAACTGAAATGTTATTGCCATTTATCTTAATCTCCAATGCCTCAAAAACAAAGAGAATATTATAATAGTTGTCCTTTGCCAAGAGAATTCAACTATACCTAGAGCAGACAAAGTATGATCAATTCCAACATCAAGCTTTCACTTCTAGACAAGGTAAAACACTAGACCTCATCTTTCAAGTCTTTTTATCTTTTGGGAAAAAAAAAATCTTTTTTTAATTAAACAAATTAATCAACATGTAAACTAGACAGTTTAGTTTAAAAATGAAGATACACGAATTTTATGTGGAACTTCAGCAAGCTCACGAACATGCCCTGAAGGTTGTCCAAAGGTTCTGAACCCTTGCTCCAGGGATATATGAAAAGCCACAGCAAAACTTAGTGAGGTGGTCTAGTCCAGGAATATCCAGTAAGTGCTTATGACAGAACGAAGTCTTCAGGGATGAAGTGAAACTCTATTAGTACCACATATTATGAAAAGCGTTAAGAACATCTAAACTTACCTTTTTTACTAAGATCAATAGCAGCTTCTAAAAGCACTTCTAATTCCCCTTTCGGCAAAACTGGAACCACCCATCGAGGCCTAAGAGTTTTAATAATATAAAAAGCAGTTTATTGGTTGTACTCTAAAGCACTATAAATGAGTTACTAATTATAATTATCTCAGCATGAAAATATTAAATATTAGTATTAAAAAACATTAAGATATTAAAACAAGGTTGGCAGAATATCTGCTTTGTGAAACTAAGCTCCATCTGTCATCTCTACAATTTTCTTTTAAAGAACAGTCAAAAGATAGCGGGGGGGATTATTTTAATATCACAGAACATAAAACTACAATAATCAAGTCTCAATTAAATAGATACCTATTGTTCAAGTTCATAGAAAAGTGCTGTTTCAGGATTTGTTATAATGAACCTCTCAGCAGTCTTCCATTTCCTCGCAAAGGAGAAAATTTAGGTGGAAAATAACAGAATTCTGCCTCAATTCATAATTTGTCTATTTTTCCTGGAAGTTAAGTGAGATGCGGCTCTCCAGGTCGCTCTGCCTCCACAGGTACCCTTCTCCCTCCAACAAGGATGCAACATGTACCCAAGTGGTGCTTTCTCTGGCCCCAATGGCAGCCCAACCATCTCTGAGGCCGTCCTTCCCTGTATCCCTTCCTCCTCACTGCTCCCAAAACTCTGGTTTTGAGGAAAAAGTGCTCCATGACTATGTAATCTATTAAAAACAAATGCATACCACATTTGTCATTGTTTTTATTCACATTAAAATATAATTTGTATTTTTCTTCCCCTGAGAATTTGCTGATATGTAACTTTGTCCTCAAGTCTGCATAAGAAGTACCCTTTACTAACAACCTCCAGTCACCAGACAGAAAGAAAAAGCAACAGTAAAACCTTTTGCTAGGTCTCTGTATAGAAAAAGAATAGTCAGGGACATTAACTTTACAGGATTTCTGATTTTTTTACTACAATTCATTGTATACCATTATTACAGGTATCTACTGGAATCACAGTTAATATGTTCCTTCAAATATACTACTAAAAACAGTGAGTTAAAAATAACAGGAAAATTTTCACGATAAATGAAGTGAGGAAAGCTAGTTACAAAATGATGTAGTAAAAATCTATCTGTAGAAAAAATCAATACAAATGATAGTAAACATAATGTGAAGAGCATACTTCTTATTGTAGGTAATTTTTTGTTGGGATATGTGTAAAGAAGAAGGATGTTGCAGAAATTTATCAACATAATATTTCCATGTTTAATAGTACATAATTTTATTACTTATGTAATCCGAATTCTTTGGGGAAAAAAAATGTAAGGAGTTTCCCTTCTATTATATACATTAACAGCGTTAACATATTTTTAGAAAGTGAAAAAGAAAAAGAAAATTTAGTAAGACAAATGCTTATATGTGTATTTTCCTACTTTCCTTTTTAGGGTGGGGGAGGGGATTTGTCACACCTCCCTAGCACTCACTTGTTGAGCCCACAGCCTGGTGGAGACCAGAGCCATGTGGGGATTCCCCTACACCACTCTTTCCTTATCTTCTTTAAATCTTAATTTCCCCTGTACACAAGCTTAAACTTTCACTCTCTCTGAGTCTTCCACTGCAAGTACAAAAAATTACACTCTGAACTTGCCCCTGAGGTGAAGATCAAGAAAAACAAAGGGCTGAGATGGTTAAATGCCTTAGAAGATGGTTAAATGCCTTAGACTAGTCAAGGGTTCACAAGAGGCAGGCTCTGAGGAACTCAATGTTCTAATGACCTGGCTTACCTCAGGACCATGAAAAAATTAAGAAAATCATCCAACTACGGTAGCACCAACATACCAAAAAAGGAAAAAAAATCTTCATAAACTCTGAAAGAGGGAAATCACATATATGGTTCTACTTCAGAAACACACCAGCCAGCTTGGGTCATCATCATTAATCTGAAAACTTTTATTGACACTGTTACTTCCTGATTAAGAATCATGGGTTACAAAACACTTGGTAAGCACTAAGATGTTAAGGCTTTAAGGAGGCAATGTGGCTACTGTGGTATTTCTGCCCACTCTCTTTTCTTACTACTAATTAATATGCTGCAGAACTGTTGGATTTCCTGTGTATTACACACTTTAAGAAAACAAAACAAATCAAACTCACCTATTGATCATGTCATCCAACTTTGCCAGGTCAGTATGCGGAAATGCAGGTTCCTCATCTTCAAGCTGCGGTGGGGCATCACCTTGACCTTGTTCATCTGGGGGAGTTGCCGGGGAATTTTCATTGGAAGAATCAGGCGACGAAGTCTTAATTAAAAATTAGATATTACAGATTTAGGTTTCTATAACATATGTACAATATCTAATAATTCAAACACCAACACAGATTAGGGTAAAAGAATAAAATTTTAAAGATAAAATCATTGTAAACTTAAAATGTTTCAGGTATTCTCTGTGCTGTTTTAAAATAATTTTATTTAATCGTTAACACCCTAAGAAGTATTGAACAGCCATTTAAACAAATTCAGTCAGTCAGTAATTAGCCCAAGGTCACACAGTTCCAACTCTATGGTCAGGATTTGAATCCAGGTTTCCCATTATACGAGCCCTGCCACAATAGGAATTATTGTACAAATATGAAACAATGCATTTCACATTTCACAGATGGAAGGTTCTGAATTATAACTTTCATTTTTTAATTTGAAGGGGACAAACAGATTTTATTCTATTCGGCATTTCTCCTTGTCTCAAACTACTACCCAAACAATTATTAAAACTTCATGATTGTGGTTTCTAAGTAAGCCACGTCAATTTTTTTTTTTTTAAAGCTTTTATTTATTTGACAGAGAAAGAGGGAGAGATGAGGGCACAAGCATGGGGAGTGGCAGGAAGATGGAGAAGCAGGCTCTCCAGTGTGCAGGGAGCCCAATGGGGGGCTCAATCCCAGAACTCTGGGATCATGACCTAGCCAAAGGCAGATATTTAACTGACTGAGCTACAGAGGTACCCCTAAGCCACATTATTTTCAATAGGTCTAATTTTACTCACTTTCACTTCATTTTTAGAATATCCTTCTCTTTCCCCCTTTAGATGCACATATTTCTGCAACTAAGTAAATGAACTTTATGACTCTCACAATCTTCTTTCGAGAGCAGATGGTACTGTCTCTTTTAAATTGAAACTGACCTAAATTTTAACCTGATTTTTACTCATGTGTTCTTGAATTTTCTACCCATTGTAGGTTCATGGCCCTTATAGAAGACAAGGGATCCTCTCCTATCATTTCAGCATCAGTAAATGCTTGTACTCAAGACAGCTGGGTATATCACCATTAATATGTTCTACTCACAAATCTTTTTTTTTTTTTAAAGATTTTATTTATTTATTTGAGAGAGAGAGATCACATGTAGGCAGAGAGGCAGGCAGGAAAGAGATGGAGAAGCAGGCTCCCTGTGGAGCAAGAGCCCGATGTAGGGCCCTCACAAAATTTATACATGAACTCACAGAGCTAATTGGCAACCAAATGGTGAACTTTTATTTAAGATAGTGAACATCATCCGGAACAGAGCTAGTCTCAAGAAAAATAATGAGGGGCACCTGGGTGGCTCAGTAGGTTAAAGCCTCTGCCTTCGGCTCAGGTCATGATCCCAGGGTCCGGGGATCAAGCCCCACGTCAGGATCTCTGCTCAGCAGGGAGCCTGCTTCCACCTCTCTATCTGCCTGCCTCTCTCCCTATTTGTGATCTCTGTCTGTCAAATAAATAAATAAAATCTTTAAAAAAAAAAAAAAGAAAAGATAAAAAAAGAAAAATAATGAAATCTATAGCACAGAATTCAAGTGTTAGAAGCCCAACAGAAATATTAGCACTTAAAATATGTAACTCAGGGAGTGCCTGGGTGGCTCAGTGGGTTAAGCCTCTGCCTTCAGGGCAGGTCATGATCTCCGGGTCCTGAGATCGAGTCCCATGTGGGGCTCTCTGCTCAGCGGGGAGCTTGCTTCCTCCTCTATCTGCCTGCCTTTCTACCTGTGATCTATCAAATAAATAAATAAAATCTTTAAAAAAATATGTAAGGTTTTAACAAACCCTTTCCCCTGGTATATATTTAGAAATAATAAAGATACAATAATGAAAACATCTGTAATACCCACAACAACAGACAAGCACTGCTGACACTTTCAATTATTTCCTTGCAACCTTTGTTCTATGAGCCAAAAATTCCATCGAAATTTTAAAACTGGGATTATATCTGCTTAAGTCTATGCCCTTTTCCATTTAACATTTGAGTATTTTCCCACATCATTAAGAATCGTTTTTTAAAAATTGACTAATGGTTACATAGTATTAAATAAGTTAATTAAGAGATATTTAGTATTTTGCCACTTTTATCGCCAACATAAACAGAGCTCTGGGGCACCTGGGTGGCTCAGTGGGTTAAGCCTCTGCCTTTGGCTCAGGTCATGATCTCAGGGTCCTAGGACTGAGCCCTACATCAGGCTCCCTACTCAGCAGGAAGTCTGCTGTTCCCTCTTCCTCTACTGCTTGTGCTCTGACAATAAAATCTTAAAAAAACAAAACATAATAAAACAAAACAAACCCAGAGCTGTAAAGAGGGTTTTGTTTTTTTTTAAGGTTTTCTTTATTTATTTGAGAGAGTGAGAGAGAGCATGAGAGGGGAGAAGGTGGGAGGGAGAAACAGACTCCCCATGGAGTTTGGAGCCTGATGTGGGACTCGATCCTGGGACTCTGGGATCATGACCTGAGCCGAAAGCAGTCGCCCAACCAACTGGGCCACCCAGGCACCCCGAAAAAGGTTTTCCAAAATATATAAATCTTTGTGTTGAACTTCGGTTTTTCTGTAGGATAGGTTCCTGGAAATATAATTACAACAACAATATAAACTCTTTAAGGGGTACTGGCATATATATTGCCAAAATACATTCCAGAAAGTTTGTACCCTCCTAACAACCACACCCAAGAGTTTTCAGCCCACAGTACCTTTGCCAAGGTTGTTTCATTCAAGACCAAGTTCTATTACATACCAGAGGCAAAATTTTCCTCCTGTGGAAATTATATATCCTTTCTCCTTTAAAAATTATACAAGTGAAATTTTATATTGATCTTAGAAATTCCCTTTATGCCAATATGTAAAAAGTATATTCCAAAATGGATCCATAAATTGGATAATGATTAATGTTATGGTTATTACTCCTTGGTTCAAAGGGTCAAATCTTGTGAAGTAACTAAAATCCTAATTTTAAAAAGTAGAGAGTAAGCAGGCAAAAGTGAAGGATTCTACAGATAGCTAAGAATGTAGTTTGTTTTGTTTTAATCATGAGTGTTCTCAAAAAGAAAAAACAAACAAAAAAAACCCGCAACACTCAACCACTATTAGACGGATGAGAATGTAATGCAGATGCATTAACAGGTAGGTATCACAAACCTGAGAGCTCTAAAAATTATCAAGTGTACCTTAAAATAAAACTGAGATTAGAGCAAATGTTTAGTATTTGTTTAAAGCCATGCAAGCAGCAAAACACTGAAAAAGAACTCAGAACTCCATGCACAATACAGGTATAAAACAGAAAATACAATGGAGTATTATTCAGCCATAAAAAGAATGAAATCTTGCTATTTTCAACAACAGGATGTTTTGAGAGGGTGTAATGCTAAGTGAAATAAGTTAGAGAAAGACAAATACCATGATTTCACTATATGGAATTTGAGAAACAAACAAGGACAAATGGAGACAAACAAAAACCACTTTTTTTTTTTTTTATTTGCTAGAGAGAGAGAATATGAGCAGGGGCAGCGCAAGGCAGACAGAGAAGCAGGCTCTCTCCTGAGCAAGAAGCCCAATGTGGAACTCGATCCCAGGACCCTGGAATCATGACCCGAGCCAAAGGCAGATGCTTAACCAACTGAGCCACCCAGGCATCCCCCAAAAAACACTTTTAAAAAAAATTTTAATTTCAGTATAGTTAACATCCAGCAGACTCTCCAATATAGAGAACTGGTAGCTGCCAGAGAGAAGGTAGGTAGGGGATAGGTGAAACAGATGAGCACCAAGTAAGGTACAGAACTGTTTATACTGCACATGTGAAACTAACATAATACTGTATGTTAATTATACTTGAATCTTAAAAGTAAGTAAAATTTAAGACTGATGAATCACTGGCCTCTACCTCTGACACCAATTATTACATTGTATGTTAACTGAATTCAAATTAAAAATATTTAAAAAATAAAAATAAATAAAGAATGAAATATACTGAAACTCTTCTAGCTCCTGGCTTAAAAATAGATTCTCTGGCATCCAACACAAATCTCTCTGTTTAATGAAACCTGAATACTAGGTAACAAATTTATGACACTAAGACTTAATGATTCTGTGTGCTACTTGTGACTACTACTTCAGTATTTTATGGCTTAAACTTGGGAACTGGAGAGGAAAACGAATAAAGGTGACACATTTATTTGGAAAAACAGAATTAAAACCTGACTTGCTCACTTCTTTAAAATGGCAGAAGGAAAAGAGAGGGCAAAGAGGGAGAGAGCACACATGCACATCTCTTTTCTACCATTCCTATAATAGATTGTCTAATCTATAGTAACTGGACAAGAAGAACTTATCCCCAAGTGACAAACTTAAGTACCCTACAATAACAGTATTTTTGCTTAAAACTTATCCATACAGAGTTCCACATAAACATGCGCCAACTGTTAGCAGCATGTCTGTGATTCATGTGCCTGCCCCTCAGCTATAAATTCACCTGTAAATGTTGTTTGAGCTGCACATCACAAATTTAAGTGTGTATGTCTGATTTGGGTATTACCCAATACAAGTGTATATATTAGAAAAAGTAGCTAAGGGGCACCTGGGTGGCTTAGTCAATTGAACGTCTGCCTTTGGCTCGGGACATGATCTCAGGGTTTTAGGAACGAGACCATCTCCCTCTGCTTGTGTGCTCTCCTCCTCTATCTAATGAATAAATAAAATCTTTTTTTAAAAAGTAGGTGAAAGGGGCACCTGGGTGGCTCAGTGGGTTAAGCCTCTGCCTTTGGCTCAGGTCACTATCTCAGGGTTCTGGGATCGAGGCCCACAACGGGCTCTCTGCTCAGCAGGGAGCCTGCTTCCCCCTCCCCTTCTGCCTGCCTCTCTGCCAAATAAATAAATAAAATCTTTAAACAAGTAAGGATTTTATTTGTATGTCAGAGAGAGACAGCACAAGTAGGCAGAGTGGCAGGCAGAAAGAGAGGGAGAAGCAGGCTCCCCTCTGAGCAGGGAATTCAATGATGCAGGATCCCACGGACTCTGTGATCCCATGGACTCTGTGATCATAACCTGAGGCCAAGTAGACACCGAACTGACAGAGCCACCCAGGCACACCCCAGAACATGCTCCATTATTTGATATCATAGTAGACATACCAACGTAGCTTTAACTAGTATCTTAAACATCCTACCTGATTCTGTTGGAGGGGGGGCTGAGACTGTCCATCAGGAGCCTGGCCCTGGCTGTCATTCCCTCCTACCGGAGAGCCACGAGTCGTGGCTGTCATACTCGACACAGGGCAGATCTTTGCAATTTTGTCTGCTTATGTAGTTGTCTTGAGAAAAGAAATTATAGTCCACTTATAGAAGATGAAGTACCAGCATTTGTCAGTCTTAAAAAGCTCCAATTCAAGAATAAACCATCTTGCAGAGACCATTGCATAACCTACAAGAAAAAAAAAGTACATTTGTTTTAGATTTAAATTAAGAAACTGTTCAATCCTAGTAGTACCAGTGAATCTAGTCAAGAGAAGGTCGCTATATAATGAAAGCATAAAGTGAAAAGCTAAAGCCTCATTAATACCATATTCAACTTAAACTGGTAACTATAGATCAGCTTGTACCAAACCACAGCCTTATGTTTCAACTTTCTTTTGGGATTCCAAAGACATTATTATCAAGGTATTTATAGTAGTCATTCTGATTTAATCATGGATTGGAAAAAACTGTCTTGGATTTGCTAACACCTTCAATACACTGTAAAAATATTATATTCAAGACATAAGCCAGGTAACAAAATACTATTTTTTAAAACATTTCAGGAAAGACTGTACAACTAACGTGTATCACTATTGTACAAGGGCATTATAAATGGCTTTTTAACAAGCTTGTAACAGGTTTAAATGAAACTTTAAAACTTTGGGGGAATTTTTCATTGGAAAAAGTTCAAACTATATACTACTATTCTTAAAAGAACCTATTCTGTCAAGTGATCCTGACTCTTCACTTTTGCCAAGGTTTTGGTCACAGGCATTCCCAGAGGCATGACAGGGCTACAGACCACAACTGTTTAACAATGGAATTCTTTGTTACCTGACCAGCAAAGGTATATAGGGGAATGCCAGCAAGCCCTCAATTCTATATATTCATTTTACCAGTGGCTCTCATCCTTAGCTGCATACTAAAATCATCTGAGATGCTTGGAAAAACAGTGATGTGCACACCCCTCTCCAGATTGAACAAATTACTGCATCTGCGCGTGAAGCCTAGGTATCAGTACTTTCCATAAATTCTCCCCTGGTGATTGAGAATTGTGCCATGAGATTGAGAGCCATAGCTGATGAGTTACAGTATTTCATTATAAGGCGAGCATACTTTCCATTTAGTCCATAACAGTCCATGTTTACCTCCTATTTAAACATAATCACTTGGGGCACCTGGGTGGTTCAGTCAGTCAAATGTCTGACTCTTGACTTTGGCTCAGGTAATGATCTCAGGGTCGAGGGGCTCGATGCCACAATTCTAAGATCAGAACCTGAGCTGAAGTCAGACACGTTAACTGAGCCACCCAGGCACCCCTAAAATCAATACATCTTTAAAAATAAATAAACAAATAAAATCGCTTAACCCAGAGATATGTCCCTAACAAGATTTTGTTTCACTTGTTAGATTTGTGTAACAACAACGAAGCTTAAGACTGATAATATCAAGTACTAGTGAGGCTAAAAACACACACAGAAAAATGTTTAATACATAAAATGAAAATACAAAAGGGAACATGATTGAGCAGCCTTTCACTTTTTTTTCCCAGTTTCATACACCCTACATTACAAAAAAAATCCACATGAAGTAAACAATTTTAAAAACCTGGAGAAACTAGCTAATAATTTTCTTTAGTCATTCTGGGTCTGCTGGCAAATTATTTGAGTACCTTTCTTTCCCTGCCACTTAAATTTATCAGCTCATCAATTCAACCTGATTTTCTCCACTTCAAATTTTTTCCATTTCTTCCCTTTGCTTCCCAACCTGGGTTCATGATCCACTTGTATGCTTCCCTCAAAGGATGATCCTCTCGCTCTTTTCCTGGATGCCTTGTTATTTGTCTATAAAAATGCTTTAGTCTGGGACCCGTGGGTGGCTCAGTTGGTTAAGCGGCTGCCTTCGGCTCGGGTCATGATCCCAGCGTCCTGGGATCGAGTCCCGCATCGGGCTCCTTGCTCGGCGGGGAGCCTGCTTCTCCCTCTGCCTCTGCCTGCCTCTCTGTCTGCCTGTGCTTGCTCGCTCTCTCTCCCTCTGTCTCTAACAAATAAATAAATAAAATCTTAAAAAAAAAATGCTTTAGTCTCCCTTACTGAAAAAGCACCAATCTCTATCCTTCCCTTTTCCCAAAAATCTGAAATATCTCTGCCTCCCTTTTCACCTTTTCCATTTTCCCTCATCATCTGGCTGGGTCTAAGCTACCAAAACTGCTTTAAGCCAGTGGGTCTTAACTGAGGACTACGGATGGATTTCAAGAGTAACTCCCCTGAAACTACAGACAAAGCTTTGTGAATATGTACATTTGGCAGGGAGAATGTTTGCTTCATAGATCACTGATGCTCTACTATGGCAAATCGAGTAACTGCTTCTTGCTATTGTGTGCCCTCTTCTCAGCATGAGTTACAAGTGGCACCACTACTTGAACCTCTGAGCTTCCTTGGTTTATACAATCCTGGATGACACCAGGTTTCCTTTCCTTTCTACTTCTTTTCAAAGGGGATGGTGGCAGGTAGTAGTGATGTCAGTGAGGACTAGTTTTGAATACTGAAATAGGTGAAAACATCCACTGAATAGTTCACTCTCCAAGTGTGGAATTGAAGCAAAACTTAGGGATCTTGAACTTAGAGCCAGTTATTCACAAAGAAGACAACGGACATGTACTCAGTAGTATAACCTCAGAGCCTCCCACCCCCCCTTAAACACAACCTCCACCTGGCTACCACCTACTGAGAGGAAGTGAGTCACAATCTTACGGGGCAGTAGAAGTAGTAGCATAATATATTCTCAAGTATGGGGAAAATCTAGGAAAGAAGACAAAACCTGAAGCACACCAAAAAATTAAAGCCAGGGTTTTTTTTTTCTAAGTAAATTTTTACTGTTTACACAAAATGTGGTGTTTTTCTAAAATTAAAAACCCAGCATCTAAAAAGTAACCTGAGGGACACCTGGGTGGCTCGGTCAGTTACGCTGCTTTAAGCCCACATCAGTCTTCCTGGTCAGCAGGGAGCCTGCTTCTCTCTCTGCCTCTGCCTGCCACTCTGCCTGCTTGTGTGCACGCTCTCTCTCTCTGACAAATAAATAATCTAAAGAAAAAATAAAGTAAAAAGTAACGTGACCAAAGCACAAGCAGAAAGTTAACAATTACCTGGTCCACTACACCAATACTATCTCTTTAAAAAGTCTTTCCAGGAAGCAATCCAAGGACGAAAGAATGAATAAACAAAATGTGGTATGCACATACAATGAGATATTCTCTAGTGTTAAAAAGGAAGGAAATTCTAGCACATGCTACAACATGGATAAACCTTGAGGACACTGCGCTAAGTAAAATAAGCCAGTCACAAAAAACAAATATTCTATGATTACACTTAATATGAGGTGCCTATACTAATACAGAAAGTAGAAAGGTGGTTACAGAGGTTACAGGGAGGGAAGAATGGGTTAACAACGGGCACAGTTTCAGCCTGGGAAGATAAAAAAAAGTGCTGAAGATGAATGGTGATGGATGACGATGACGGTGATGGTTGCACAATATGAATGTACTTAACGGCCAATGAACTGTACACTTAAAAATGGCTAAAATGATTAAATTTAAGGTTGTATATATTTTCTCACAATAAAATTGTGTGTATATATACAAGCTCTCTTGCTTTACAGTCCTTTGACATTTGGAGACCATTTCAGTTAAAATATCTTAAAATTATATCCTCATGTTGTTTTATACTCAACATCCTTCTATCTGTATGTATCCCCCTAAACCCTCCATCTATAGGCAAATCAAAACTATCTGGCAAAAGTCTGGAAATAAATTATTCTAAATGAAAGTATTCTGCAGATTACTAAGAACTATCCCTTTAAACAAAGTAACTTTAGGGGCACCTGGGTGGCTCAGTTGGTTGGGCCTCTGCCTTTGGCTCAGGTCATGGTCTCAGGGTAGGGATCAAGCCCTGCATCAGGCTCTCTGCTCAGTGGGGAGCCTGCTTCCCCGCCCCTCTCTCTCTCTGCCTGCCTCTCTGCCTGCTTGTGATCTCTCTCTGCCAAATGAATAAACAAAATCTTTAAAAAAAAATAACTTTAAGGTAAATGGAAAAGCAACCTCTCTGCCAAACAATATACCTTTTACTCTGACCACAGAACTAAATCATCATCTGCTTCTTGCAGAATATCCCATTAACAAGGCCTCAAGCTGCCTGCCATCCCTATCTCCTCTTACTGTGATTCTCACCTTTCTGTCCCTTGGTTTCTAGTTTTCTTCTAACTCTGTCAAGTTCTCCACACTTCAAGATTTCCAGTACTGCTGAGCAGGTATGTCAGGTCTCAGCATAGTACAGTCTCTCTACTGTTTTTTTTTTTGTTTTTTTTTTTTAAGATTTTATTTATTTATTTGACAGACGGAGATCACAAGTAGGCAGAGAAGCAGGCAGAGAGAGAGGAGGAAGCAGGCTCTCCGCTGAGCAGAGAGCACAATGCAGGGCTGGATCCCAGCACTCTGAGATCATGACCTGAGCCGAAGGCAGAGGCTTTAACCCACTGAGCCACCCAGGCACCCCTCTATGTTGTTATTTTTAACAGCCGTCTCTCTCCCACCACATAAGAACGGATACCTTTTCCTTGGTATGCTAGGACTGAAAGATTAAGAGCAAGAAAAAGGTATGGAACAATTAAAAATACTTTCTGGATTTTTAAAACTTAACTTTTATTTCAAAATCCCACATCTGCCATTTAACAAGCTGCCTTTCTTAAAGGTCAGTTAATGGCCACTCTATTTTCACAGGTGTTTAAAACTGAGATAATGCCACCCACAAAAATCCCATGAGGATTATTTTAACAAAGGTGTTTTGCAAATACCAAACACAGTAATTCTCAGAATGTTTTCTTTTCCCTTTCTATAATGTACTATGTAGGGTTCTTGAGTATCTGAGGTCATAATTGGAAAAATAACGTTTTCAAATATAACTTGGAAAGCTTTGAATGGGAAAAAGTTTATCAAAGATATGCTACAACTAAGTTATCCAAGAATAACACTGCTACCTTTCTTAATAAATCCCATTCA